GCCATGCTTGGTTCTGATTCGGTTCAACATAGTCCATGTGTTGCGTGGTAAGTCAAAACCTGGTGGTTTTTGTATGATGCAAGGTAAGCTGCTATTTTGTTGTTCCTCCATTCTCTAGTCCAAGTGGTCGTTAAGTTAAACTCATTTTCCACTGCAATCTGTGCTGTTTTTATTGGCGGTTACCTGGAGCGCAAACGGTTACCGTTGGCAGCATCTACATCTTGATGAATTGGCAGGGTCTCGTTGCTAAGTATCTTTTGGTACTCATTAGTGAGGAAGTGTATACGCCGTAGTCTGGGTGGTGGAATGTGGCTCAGGACTGGGAGCCATTGCGTAGGGGTGGATTTTATAACACCAGCAATCATTCTCATTGTGTTATTCAATTGGGCATCTACTTTGTGTGTTTGTGGGCTTTGAAGCCAGGCTGAAGAGTAGTATTCCGCGGTTGAGAAAACAAGGACCAGGGCAGATGATCGCAAAGTGGAAGCCGATGCTCCCCATGTTGTGCCGCACAGCTTCTGGATGATGTTGTTTGTGGATTTAAGTTTTTGCGCTGTTTTTGACAGATGTTCCTTGAAAAATAGAGTTATATCAAGAGTCACCCCAAGGTACTTTGGTGTTTTATTGTAGGCCAGTGTGGTGTTTTCGAATTGGGCGTTCAGTGTTCTTCCTGCAAGCTTGTTAGTTAGGTGAAAACTGGAAACCTCTGTTATGGTAGCGTTTGGTTGGAGCCTCCATTTACGGAAATACTTTCCCACTGTGTATAAGTCTGCCGTAAGGAATTCTTCTGTTTGTTCAATTGACTAACTCCTTGTTGCAAGGACCCAGTCATCGGCGGATCCATTCCCTCGCATATTTGCCGCTGTTAATTAAGAATTCAGGATGAATATTGTCAAAACCTGGGGCTTTACCTGACTTTACATCCTTGAGAGCTATAGTGACTTCTTCGCAAGTGAAAGGGCGAGAGTATTCGATTTCTGCAGATTGGAATTTTAATTTGGTGGTTTTATGCTCTCGTTTTACCTTGATTGTGTGTGGCTTGTCTTTCGGGACCCTAGATGTCGATACCAGATCTGAGGCAAAAGTGTTTGGGTTAATGGTTGTTTTGTTCCTTGTTATGGGAGTTCCGCTTCCTAATTTTCTTAGTAGTGTCCATGCTTGCCTACTTGATGATTGAAAATTAAGACTTTCTACAGTTTCCGTCCATTTTTGTTCATTCATTTGTCTCGCTGCATTTAGGCTATGGAGCAGTTCATCGGCTAATTCTTGATCGCCGCTTTCAAGGAAATTTTGGTACAGTTCTTCGCTGTTATGGGACCAACCAGGAATGTATTCTTTTCAGTAGCCTCTTCCTAGGAGTAGAGTAACCTAGGAGTAGAGATCACTAGTGACAGGGATATAAGAACAGACACCACAAAGCAATTATCAAAAGCGGCAAGACTAAGTAGTTGTATCCGAGAAACCATATGGAGAAACAAATATCTGACTGCGGAAAGCAAAATGAAAGTATACAAGACAACATCAAGACCAATCCTAACATATGCAGCGGAGACAAGGACAGATACAAGAAAGACGAAACAACAAATCAACAATATTGAAATGAAAGTATTAAGATCAATAGCGGGCATATCATTAAGAGACAGACAAACCAACAGAAGTATACGCAAACAATGCAAAATTCAAAATATTAACAGGTGGATAAAAACAAGAAAAAAAAACTGGAACGAACATGTAAACTGAATGGGACCTGATAGATTAGCGAACATCTGTAAAAACAACAAGCCGTATAGCGGAAGACCCGTTGGAAGACCGCCAAAAACGTGGAAAGATAATGTACAGTCCACAACGACTAAAATAGAATAAGAGGCGGACAAAAAGGAGTAAACCTAGTCGCACGAAGAAGAATAAGGCAGTAATTCCGGGACTTTCGGTCTTTTTTTCTTTGGCAAAAATAACACCGCCATTGTCCCGAAGCTATGTTAGCTCCAGGTGGAACAACAGAAATGTCCAATTCAAGATATGCAATTTTCATCATTTGACGTAACTAAGAGTACATATTATTTGTGTTTTGATTTCTGTAGATAACATTTTCTTTCGCCAAATCCCGTGCTAAGTCTAATAAAAAACTTCGTTTTATATCAGCATGTTTCCCATCATAATTTGGATTTTTTATTTTCCACATTTTGAAATAATTTATGGATGAAATAGCTTATAATTGATAAAACATCACCATATGGGCGCATCACCATGGGCCATATGCGTGTTTGGTGATGTGTTGTGTATTGTTGTGCCATTTTTGTCCACTACGCTAACAGTTCCTTTTGTCTCCAGTCCCAAAAAATTAACAAAAAAAAATTATTATAAAAGATAGGTGAGAAAAGAAGGTTTGGGTTGCAGTTGGACCCTGCATCTAGTGTTGCCCAAATGCAAGACCAAGACGAGACTTAGACAGTCTTGGTCTTGGTCTTGCGCCAATACACCTGGTCTTGGTCTTAGTCTTGGTATTGCACTCCCGGTCTTGGTCTTGGTTTTGCAGCAAGAGTCTTGCAAGTCTTGCAGGTCTTGCAGTTACCCATTAGCCTATTGCTATTTAACAAACGTTACTTTAGATCATAGAACAACCTAATAGAGCAAGTACGTTTTAAGCTTGAATAACCATAGCCATAATAAAGACCAACCAAATAAATAAATGTCTTAACAACTGACACCGAGTAGGGTTTGAAGCATCTAAGCGATCCGTGACTATGCTCTAATTAACTCAGCTATCTACCATGCCCCACGGAAGTCAATCTGTTTCTTAATAAACGTTTTCATTATTTAATAGGCTTACATGTGCTGAAACATGCTTCAAACACAAAAAAACAAATTAATGACATAACCTTGACTGTATTTTAAAAACCATTATCTGCCTAGAAAGGAATTGATGGACTTCCCATCGTATATAAAATGAAAAATCATTAAAAAGATTGGTATGTGGCAAAAAATCCACATACATGTATCAAGGGCACAGATTTTTTAGGTGATAAGATAAAAAACTATATATATATATATATATATATATATATATATATATATATATATATATAATATATAATAAGGTTCTTGAACTCCTAAGTGGAGCATAGAGCTTCAGTGAAAACGCGCCATCGGGTTCTATTTTGCGCTAAGGCCTTCACCTCATTCCAAGACTTTCCTTGTTTTCTTATCTCGTCCATGATGGATCTTCTCCAAGTTTGTACTGGGCGACCTTTTTTTCGTTTTCCTTGGGGGTTCCACTCTAGGGCAGTCTTTGCAATACTGGAGTTATTTTTTCGGAGTGTGTGACCGATCCAACCCCACTTTCTGGACTTTATTTCATTTACTACCCTCTTTTGTTTGGTCAGGTGTAGTAAATCTTCGTTTCTGATGATGTAAGGCCAGAAAATACGAACAATTCTTCGTAGACATTTATTAACAAAGACCTGCAGTTTGTCTGTAAGGGTTATTGTCGCTTTCCAGGTTTCACATCCGTAAAGTAGCAGACATGACATTTGACTGGAATATGCGGATCTTTGTCCTCGTAGTGTAGTCTCCAGATCTCCAAACAGGGTTGAACATGCTGAAAGCTTGTTGCGCTTTTCGTATCCTCATACGAATATCGTCTTCTGTACCTCCGCTTTCTGTTATGACACTTCCAAGATACGTAAAGTTTTCCACATTTTCAATCTGCATGTTATTAATGGTGAATAGCGTGTTGTTTCTTGCATTTATTCTCATGGATTTGGTTTTACCAATATTGATTTTCAAACCTATTTTATTGGCTTCAGTGGAAAGTGTTTCCAATTGGTCAGCCACATCTTGGAACCTTTGTCCTAACAGGCAGATATCGTCGGCGTATTCTAGATCGCTTAGGCGTGTGGTTAACGTCCATTGTATCCCTCTTGTGTCAGAGTCTAGTTTGGAGAGAACATAGTATAGAGCTATGTTAAAAAGAAACGGAGAAAGCACGCATCCTTGTCTGACTCCAGTAAGTAAAGTAAAAGTAAAAAACTATAATTCACTTAATAAAAATATATTATAGTGCAAAAATGTAGGATGTACAAAAGTAATACTATTTACTTATGTAAAAAGTGTAGAATGCATCTACACCCCGAATATTTCGAAAATTTTTACCTTAAAATTTAATTTACGTTTAAGATACAATATGTTCCTTTATTAAAAATTGTACTGTTTTCCTTACAAATGAGAAAAAAAATCTTGTTGGTTGTAATTTATTCCTAATTTGTGTTTTTAACCCAATCTAATAAATTATTTGTCAAATTTCTCTTTGTATATTGAGCGGCCGTTAAGGGTTTAATACTATATAAAGAATAAACTGGCCTCAAATTTACTTTACTTACCTCAAAACTATTTTAAAGTTAATAATAAAGTATATTTAATAAATATATTCCCAATAATATACTACGCCTATGAACATATGTGTAAAATCTGGAAGATATCATATTTCATAAACTTCAATAAACTAAGATATCATATTTCTCTAATTAACATTTTTCCTAAAAACGTAAATATGTATAGACCAGCAAAATATTGATAATTTTACCGATGTTGCAAACTATTCTATGAACTTTTCTCACTATACACTCGTGAATCGTATCAATTTATATTGTTACGGGGGCAAATTTATCTTAGATGGGTTACAAATTTACATATTTACATGGGCGAAGCATACACAATAAAAATGACCCCGGTAAGAATTTACTAATGAAATTTTTCATGGTTGCCGCTACCGTTTAGTTCAATTTGTAGATTAGTCACCTTTAATTGAAAATTGTCCGACTATAATAATATTTTTTATCATCTAAGGTGACACATTTTTAAAAAGTTTCAAAACGATATTACTGTCGGAGTTGCAAAGCAAAGATAATATTTTATTATTAGAAGGGGCTATTCTCAAAATCTGGACAATTAATTTCAGAGCGAAGAAGTAGTGTGCTGGGAAAGAATGTACAAAATATTTTATTTTTAGATTGTAATTATGACCTCTGAGTACGTGTCACATTTTTAAGTGTTCTTGTAATGAACATTTTGATTCGCTATGTATGTTTATGGTATTTTTCGTAATGCACAAGTCAAATTTTCCAAATTTTTGTTAATACTTCTTTGTGTCTCAGAGTCTCTAAGCATACACCCGAATTAGTATACTCCCTAAAACCACACTCAGTCCTAAACTGCAAGACGCAAGAGTTTCGCAGGCTTGGTCTTGTTCTTGCTTAAGTCTTGCACGGTTAGTCTTTTTCTTGGTCTTGCAAAAATTAGGCAGTCTTGGTCTTGGTCTCGGTCTTGCAAAAACGCAAGAACAAGACCAAGACCGATTTTGAGCAACACTACCTGCATCTGCTTAGGAGGGTTAATAAAGTGCTTTAAAATGTTAATGAAGCTTTTTTTTTAAATTTTATATTTGGTATACTTAATTAATCTTTTTATTTTTTGTAGATATTACATACCTTTGGGTTTATCTTTGGCGTTTATTTTACCTTCAATAGCTTTTGTCTATGTTTTTCAAGAAACGGTTGCAAATGCAATCTTATTATCTATTACGAAATATATTCTAACTTTAAATGGAACTTGGTGCGTCAACAGCTTTGCACATATGTATGGCTGGAAGCCCTATGACAGGTTAGTATGCCAATCTATTAGTAAAAAATCTACTTGTGATAATTGCACGTATCTAATTTCACCCATTATAGTCCAGGTTCTGGGGCCGCTCCCACGGGAAAATGTTCTGATTCGATTTTTTTGCGGATTCCTATACACAAATCTCATACATAAAAAAATCTGGAGGTCAGCGTACAATTTTGGGCAGAAATTATTTAAACAATTGTTTTAAACCAATTTAAAAAAATTCCTTTTTTCGGTCCGGAAAACACTTACATTTTTTTGATATACGCATTATTATTTTTGAGTTTGATAATAGGAAGCAAGCATGATTGGTTTATGTATTTAAACTAATCATCTAGATTTTAATAAAACAATTTAGAACTTCAATAAATTTGATTTCTTTTTCTTTAGAAGAAAATCTAACAGGAGAACGCTACTTAACTTTTTTTGAGAAATCAATTTATACCTGTCCTTGCTAACATGTATCCAAATGCCAATAATCCAAATTTACCTAGTAAAAATATCTGGTTTCAACAAGATGGAGCGACTTCGCATTACGCACGTGAAGTACGTCAATTTTAAAATCATTGCTTTTCCAGGAGGTGGATCAAAAGACGAGGTTTTATAGAGTGGCCAGCAAGGTCACCAGATCTAACACCTCTAGACTATTTCTGTAGGGTTACATAAAATCAAAAGTTTTTGTCAATAAACTCCAAAACTTACAGGACTTAAAGGCATGAAATGAGTCTAATTATTCCAGAAGTCATTCGCAATGTACTTGATGAATGTGTCCGTAGATTCGCATATTGTCAAGAAACCGATGGATGGCATTTCGAACATTTAATTTAAAGTTATTATTATGCATAATTTGGTTACTTGAAAGTACATTATTAATTAAATCATTAGTTGTAATTTAGTTGAATTTACAAAAAAAAATTGTTTTTGTACCCTTAAAAAAATATTTTAGTTAAAAATGTAATGTCTTAAATAAAGATTAAATTCTTCTTCAAATGAGGTGTCGCATTATACCGATTTCTATTTAAAAAAATTAACGATTACGTCACTACACCCACACCGGTGACGTCATCCCTACTCCATGTCGTCATAAGATGGGTATTTCATAACAAAAATCGACCTGTTTCGGGATTTCTCTTAAAACTCAACGGTTCTCGAAATAATGATAATATTCCCTAATTTAGCTGTTCACTGTATATAATTTGAAGTAGCTTAGTCCTTTAGGACATTCAAAAATGGGACAAAAATTTTTTTAACCCAAAAAAAAAACATTTTTTAAGGGTTTTTAAAAAGTTTTGCGAGGTTAATGATAAGGTTTTTATAGGTTATATATATCTTAAAGTAACTGAGTCCTTAATAAGGAAGGAAGGATAAAGGCAGATTTAAAGAAATACCAAGAAGATCGCATTAAGAAAATCATAGAGAAGAACAAAAGTTTAAAAACAATGAAGACAAATATAGGAAAAAGAAAACTAATCATGCTTAAAGCTGAGAACAATGAAGAAAGAGATCTAGAAGAAATAGTAAAAATCACAGAAAGACTATTACACAGACCTATACAGTTCTAAAAATGACCCACCACTATCATCTAAACAGAATATCTCGAGGAAAATACAAAATGTTGGCTCAGAGGTATTACCAGAAATAACTGAAGATGAAATTGAAAAATCCATAAACGACATGAAAACAATAAAGCGGCCGGTGAGGACAAAATACTGGCGGAACTGCTAAAAGAAGGAGGAGACACGATAAAAAAAAATGCTAAAAATACTGTTCAACACATGTGTGTTTGAAGGTAAAATACCTAAACAATGGAGAAATGCCAACACAATCTTAATACATAAGAAAGGAGACCGAACAGACCTAAACAACTACCGTCCTATTTCCCTTTTGTCACAACTATATAAAACCTTCACAAGAATAATAAACAACCGACTAACCTATAAACTTGATAACTACCAACCAGTGGAACAGGCCGGATTCAGGAAAGGATACAGCACAAGCGACCATCTACATGCGCTTAAAATCTTAATTCAGAAAACCAATGAATACAACCTTCCGCTGTACTTAGCATTCGAAGATTATGAAAAGGCTTTCGACAGCATTGAACACTGGGCGGTTGAAGAAGCTCTGGTCAATAGTACAATAGATTCAAGATACCGACAATTGATACATGATATTTACCAAAACGCAACCATGACCGTAATTCTGGACGACAAATTAATAACGGATAATATAAAAGTTAAACGAGGAGTCCAACAAGGCGATATAATTTCACCTAAACTGTTTACCTTGACCCTCGAAGACATAATAAAATCAACAGATTGGGAAGACAGAGGAATATGTATTAACGGAAAATACCTAAATCACCTTAGATATGCGGATGATATACTCCTGATCTCGGAACGACAAGAACTGGAATTAATGCTGAATGAACTTAATGAAAAATCACTGCAAAAAGGCCTAAAAATTAACTTCAACAAAACAAAAGTAATGACAAACACGGAAGACCAAGAGGCAATAAAAATACAAACAGAAAAAATAGAACAGGCAAATGAGTATATCTATCCAGGACAAGCAATCAGAGCTAACAGAGAAAATCAAACAGCCGAAATATCGAGACGAGTAAGAATGGGATGGGCAGCGTTCGGCAAACTTTCTTACGTTCTAAAAAATCAAACAATCCCTCTATACTTACGAAGCAAGGTATATAACTCCTGTATAATACCGGTGCTCACCTACGGAGCACAGACATGGACATTTACACATGCCAATTTGGATAGGATAAGGAAGGCACAAAGAGCGATGGAGAGACAAATGTTGGGTATATCACTTAAAGATAGAAAACGTAACCAGTGGATCAGAAACCAGAACAAAGACAGTAGACGCGATAGAACAAGCAGCAAAATTGAAATGGAAATGGGCTGGACACAATGAAACGTCTCCAAGAGGACGATGGAACAATGCCATCGGAAAGTGGCGTCCATACAATGCAAAGAGATCAAGAGGCAGACCAGAGATGAGGTGGAAAGATGACATCAGGAAACAAGGAGGTCCCACATGATAGAGAACAGCTCAAGATAGGGAAAGATGGAGAGAACTGGGGGAGACCTATATCCAACAATGGAAGGATAGAGAATAGGTTAAAAAAAAACTGAGTCCTTTAGGACATTCAAAAGCTGGGAAAAAAACTTTGAACCCCTCAAAAAACGATGTTTTTCAAGTTTTTTAAGGAATTTTGAGGGATTAATCATATTTTTAGGATCGATTCAACTTAAACCAATTTTTCGATTTTGTTTACGTTTTGTATGAATAAAAAATGACACAATATAAGCTCGTCATTAAATACTCTAATGGTACAAAATCAGGAGTTGAAGTTATAGTGCCAATTATAGTGTCAACCGTAAAAGAAGGCATTGACACTTATCCGTATTTTACACGCGCGTAGTTAACAGTTAGAGCTTTTATCTTTCTAATAAGGTCAGTCAATTAGTTTCCTGTTTTTAATTTGAAAAAAACTTTGACTTTTAACAACTTCTTATATGCTTTTTTGGTATAGCTTAATAGCAAACGAACGAAGATGATTGATATTGAGAAATGCGAATGATTTTAGGTACAATTTGACCCACATCAAACTATTGGCTTCCCATTATGAGTCACATTCCACCTCCGAGCTGCGGAGAAATCATTCTCTTCTCTAAGAATATCGAAAAATCAAGGCTAACCAGTAACAACCCATCCATCATGATAAGCTTGATATCAAAATAAACAGACTACGCTCCAGATATTCTTCATACTAAAAGCCAATCGGTCAGAAACCGCCAGGCTTTAAACTGACCCGCAATACATGAATGTTAAGCAGAATACGAACAAGCAGCAGTAGTGCTGACAGCTTAAATAGATAGGGAAAAGCCCTTACTTCTGAGTGTGACTATGGTGCGCAACGACAGACCGTCCATCACATTGTTAAAGAATGCCCCTGAAAACGGTTCACTGGAGTTCTCGATGACTTCCTTATCCCGACTAAAAATGTTTTACATCATATTCATAATATATTAGATGTTTGTTTTGTGGGAACAGATGAGAAGAACGAGGCATTTAGGACCATGCAACAACGGAAAACTAGGATAACAATAGATAGATACAAAAACTTAAGGAGAGAGGAAAAACGTATACACCGAAAAAAGAAACGAGACTCGAAAAATGACATATAGAATATCTTATGTGGACCATGTCACCAACGTTGGGGTCCTACCGTACAGCGCATGACAAAAGAAAAAGAAGTGCTTAATTTAATTAAACAACGTAAGCTTGAGTACCTCGGCCACGTCATGCGGAACGAAGAAAAATATCGAATTCTTCAACTCGTTATGCAGGGTAAAGTATTTGGCAGACGAGGACCGGGATGCCGTCGTATCTCGTGGTTGAAAAATCTCCGACAATGGTTTGGGATGACCTCAGCGGAGCTGTTTCGCAGAGCAGTCAACAAAACCATGATAGCCTTGATGATTGCCAACATCCGGACCGGATAAGGCACTGAAGAAGAAGAAGAAAAAGAATGGCTCGGAAGCCATATGAGTCACGGAGAAACAAAAAAGTTCTATCGCCAAATAAATATTATTAGAAAAGTATTTAAACCGAGAATCATTTATTGTAATGATAAGGAAGATAACTTACTTACAAAGAGGATATCCTGTTACGATGGGTAGAGCACTTTGAGATGCTGGAAGGGAACCTACTAACAATATAGAGCTGGAATACCAAAATCAGGAACTCGTGGGACTTTCCTCGGTAGATGAAGTGAAAATATCTATAGAAAAACTAAGGAACTACAAATCCCCAGGCAGCGACGGCTTCCCAGCAGAGTTATTTAAGCACGGTGGAGAGCAGCTCACCAATTTGATGCGAGAAATTGTTTGTAAAATTTAGTCTGAGGAGCAAATGCCTAAAGAATGGAGCTTAGGCTTAATTTGTCCGTTACAACAAGATATTGTCAAACATTTTGCACGAGAAATTGAAGCCTTTTACCGAAACGTTTCTAGAAGAATATCAGACAGGATTCAGGTGTGGACGTTTAACCATTAACCTGATCTTTACACTTCGACAGATCCTCGAAAAAGCGCAAAAGTTAACATAGATATGTATCATATTTTGTCGATTTTAAAGCGGCATATGACAGTGAAATGAGTTAGGAATTCCAAAAAATTCATATGTTTGATAAAAGTAAGAATGGCGAAGATGCTATCAGCATTAAAAATTCAAAACGACTCGTCAACCCCATTTGAAATACATTTTAAGGCAAGGAGATGTGCTGGCATGTCAGCTTTTTAATGTCGTCTTATAAAAAGTTGTAGGAGACGCTAATTTAGAAAGCAGGTGAACAATATTTAATAGATCAGTCCAAATTATAGCATATGCAGACGATGTGGACATTATAACAAGAACCAGGGCGAGAACTGCGGAAATCCTAACCGAGCTTGTAGCAGCAGCAGAAGGAATGGGGTTACATATAAATCAAAATAAAACCAAACTCATGGCGACTAACACAAACACAAGAGCTGGAAATGTTGACGCAGATTTTATCATCAATGACCAAAACTTTGAAGCAGTCAAAGGGTTCATATATCCAGGGACATCGGTTAATCCCAATAATAATACATCTGAGGAAATAAAAAGGCGAATAATAATTGCAAACAGGTGTTATCATGGTCTATCAAAGTACTTAGCTAACAAACGCCTGGTTTAAAAAAGTCGTATATGGCTGTATAGAACACTGATTGTCCCTGTTCTCACATATGGATCAGAGGGTGACGCTAACTAAAACAGATGAATCCGCTCTATCGATTTTTGAAAGGTGCTACGCAAGATATTTGGAACATGATAAAGAAGATTTTAACAGCGCAACCCGTGGGAATAAGGAGACGGAGTAGACCAAAGCTGACGTGGATGGACGGAGTAACACAAGAAAAGATCGGTGTCGGCAATTGGAAAATGCAGGCAAGGGACAGAACAAAATGGCGTAGAAAGCTTGAGAAGGTCGAGGCCCTCGGGCTGTAGCACTAAGATGATGATGATGATGATGATGAGTTCGTTTGTAATACTCCATGTAACGTTTTATATTGATTTTTAAATATGTGTACAGGATGTTAACAAGCAGTCGAATTAAAATATCATACGAGCCAATGCATCGTATGAATAAAGTTTCTCATGTAACTACGTTCAACAGAAAATGATAATAAAAAAGAAAAAGTCAACAAACATACACAAATCTAATTCATTATAAAGATGTTTATAATTTTAACATACATTTTTAAATAAGAATTGTTGCAATTTAAAAATTTTAATATTATTTACAGGTATTCTTCTACCCCTTGTTTGTTTAAGCCACTTATTGTGACTACATTCTGTAATGACTGTCAGTAAAATTTTGGCATTTAAGCATTAAATTTTAATAGAATATGTAATTTTTTTCACATATTATCTAAAATAACTACAACTACCTAGAAATATTGTTTAATTTTTATCTACTCATTTTAGCTCCATCAATCCAGTTGAAAACGCTACCGTTTCCATAGTAGGCTTAGGAGAAGGCTGGCACAACTACCACCATACCTTCCCATGGGACTACAAAGCTGCAGAATTCGGGAATTACCGAGCTAACTTAAGTGCTGGCTTCTTGGATCTCATGGCTTATTTAGGACAAGCATACGATCTAAAGACAGTATCGAAAGAGATGATAAAAAAACGAGCTGCGAGGACAGGAGATGGATCTTATGCATTCGATAAAGTTCCCTTAGAAAATGGTAATACAAGAGAGCCTCACAACTTCCATGAGGACTGTGTGTGGGGTTGGGATGACAAAGATATGAAAGAAGAGTTTAGAAATGCTACAATTAAGATAAGAAGTCACTAACGTCAGAGAAAAGTATATATACATTTGTACATAACATAAAATATAAAAGACTCGTTGTACTTAATCTCTTATATTAATAAAGGTCGTTAGTTACTTACTATGCATTTTATTTTTAAATAGTTATTCCGGCAAGCAATGTTTTACTTAACAAATAGCTAGACTCAACGTTGGAACAATTTATTATTTACTTATTAGGGGTTAAAAGTGGGAACTGAACAATAACTGGGCTAAAGATAGGGTAAGCAAATAAGTTGAAACGTTTGAGAACGGCTACTCGTGTTTTGGTGGTAGAGCTGGATCGTGGATAAAAATTTCTTTATTTGAGGGCTGGAAGGGCTAACTACAAAAAAAAGATCAATAAAATACTTACAGATATGTCTTGGGCAATAATACAAAGTAGATTCCTAAAATATTTAAAATTGACGCTGTGTACAAAAATCGTCTTGCTGATTACAAAAAATGCTTTTTTCCCAAAAATTTTAAGGGGGGATAATCGTTTTAACAGAAATAATTTTAAACTCCTGTTTAAACAAAAACGTTACATATTTATTTTTATTTCACATAACCAGTTTATACATTACAAATAAAATTATCCAATTTTATCAATAAACCTTAAATTGAGTTTAAACTTTTAAAAAAACAGAAATTAGGTTTTGTTTATCAACAATAATGTTACACTGACCTTCTAACAAAGCAGATTTTAAAATTTTAGTTATGTATCAAATGACAGAAAAGAGTAATACTGACAGTCATATATCGAAATGAAATATTTAACTTTTCCGAATTATTAATGAATTATCAAGGTTAACTTTATTAAAAAAACTAAAAGATGACAATTAGCTGATCCATAAAACTTATATTTATTTATAACTCTTTAGTTTGTAATGAAAGCAAATCTTAGTATATTAACGAATAATGTTTATTTTATTTAGACAAATTTAACAAGAACTACTTTGCTTCACTGGCTGATTATTCCTTTTTAAGTCATTAAGAAACTTTGTTACCTTGGAATTGCATACAAAAAAAACGCTGTCCCACACAAACTTCAAACCATCTGAATTTGACCCATATGAGACAAAATGGAAACTGGACACATCTGTGGAGAGGTCAAACATCGAATTGGACTTCAGGTTATCCTGATGATAAAAATATGTGTTCTTCAAAACTCGGCTGCTTAATTTTCACTTAAAACCATGTGGGCCTCACTTATTTCTCAGACACGCTTTATATCAAGTCCCGTGACCTGGACTACAGCAACAAACTAATGATTATTTCGCTTCACAAAGACTACCCAGGGCAAAAAAAACTCATGGATTACTTTACATTGTCCGATGACAAAACGAAACACAATATCGAATTTTAAAAAATCCGGACTTTGTAGCGATAAGGATAAGTGATAGACGAAAGTAGGAAGGGACTGCATGAAGTTAGCACAGATGCCATAGGATGTTCCTATATGATGGAATTAGCTTTTCTGTCCACATACAACAGAATATTTAGTCTACAGGACCGAAAGAGGGAGGGCGAATATTTATTTTATGGTTCAGAAAGAGATAGAAAAAAAAGAGAGAGGGCGTCATCTACTTTTTGAAGAAAAAATAGTAAAAAACGAAGCTGGAGATAAAGGAATTATTAAATTGATAAAGAAATTAAAATAAAATAATTATTTAAATATAAATTAATAAAGATGTGACGTTTACAACAAACCAAACGTTTGAAAAAGGGATACAATTTTTACTTATAAACAATTGTAATAACTTCTATATTTCTCAAGCTACAGATTTGTATGTAAAACCATTGAATAGCTGGTAAAAAAACTCACATTTAAAAAAATATATAAATCTTTCATGACCAATAGCAACGAAGTTAGCGACTATTTTTTTTTAAATCATATATCCATGGTTTATAAACATTAAGAAGTAAAATTTGCACAAATTTTGAACGAAAATCTAAACTTTATATTGAAACTAATAACTATAAAATTCATCAAATTTTTCAAAACTTACAGCCTTTCGAAACGAAGGTACTTTCGAAAGATCGACATAGGAAAGTGGAGGAGAAACTGTTTTAGCTCCACACTTCAAAATTTCGTCAGTCTTAGTGTAATGTACTCAGTTTATTTTATGTATTTTTCTCTGGTGGTGAAAATACTAATTTCAGGGGTGGAATTTAAAATTCTTCACATTCAAAATAAAGGCCTTAAGCTATCCTTGTTAGAATCTATGGAAATCAACAAATTAAAAAACACAAATAGAATTCTGAACGACTAACTTGAGAAAAACAGTTCTCCCTCCTCAAAATATTTCATAAGAGACTATAAAGTGTAAACGCATGCCAAAAATAGATCACTTGAGAAAGGCAATCAGCCGAAACAGCTGTAGTGATTATAGTTTAAAATAAATTTTGTGGAAGTTTGAAAACAGTTTTCAGTGTATTATTGTTACATAAAACTATATAGATTTGTAGACGACAAAAAACGCCACAACTTTGCGTGTTGCTGCTCTTCTGTTTCCGCAGTAATCTTACTTGCTCAAACTTTTTTCAATCACATAAAATTCTTACAGAACAAGAGATGTCTTACTTTAATTACGCTTGGGGTAATGTTCTTGGAGTATTACAATCTCAACGAAATTTTAAGTTTTCTATTTCCAACTTTCGATCACATCTGTTTTTACCTTTACCTTACATCTACATCTGTTTAAAAAACAAAAATTTTAACCACCAAAAAATAATAAATTGGAAATTAGCTGCAATCACACCTGAATTGTATTTAACTAGGGTATAATTTAAAACAGCTATTGTAGGCTAATATTCTTGAAATACTATTCTTGAATACTGATTTTGATAAAACGATGATGTGTCTATTCTATTGTTTTCTAATTACCGAATATTGAATGATTTTTTTCATTAAATTTTGGCGAAAAGTATTTAAAATGTAGTAAACAAAGTATTGTAAATCATTTTTGTGAGTTATCTGTGTTTGTAAGTGTTCAGAGTGATTTATTGTTTCATTTATTAAGAAAGTACCTGTGTGCAACGTGACTATTATTAGCTGGGCACCGTTGCCTGCATAGGAGCTGATAGAAGTATCAGGTATGAAAGTTAATAATTATTGTAATATTTTTGGAGAATCCAAAACCTCAGTTAATGTGATGAGGGCGCAAAATTGGATGACGTTATGCAACAACGGGTTAAGCCACCGCCATGAGGTTTTAAGAAAATGATCAAAATAGTTTGACAAAAGAACATAATTGTTTAGTACAAGATTTAAAAGTGAAAGTTTGGCAATAAGACAAAATAATATTGGTCACTGAATATATATATATATATATATATATATATATATATATATATATATATATATATATATATATATATATATACAGTGCTTTTCAGATAAAACTATCCACCTTAAATAACTTTTGAACCTCTAATTTTTAGGAAAAATGCAAAAACACGTCAATTAATATTCGAAGGGGGAGACATTATATCATATTTAAGGTTGCTGGGAAATGCACCCTCTCACCCCCCGTATCATCACTGTATTTTTTTTAAATTACTTCCCCCTTTTTTTAGTTGATGTTTGGATTTTCCTCTTTGTACTGATTTCAGAAATGTATAATACGTGATGCTTGAAGTGATTAGTTTATGAGAAAAATAAATACAAAATCAAGAAAATTGGATCGAAAAAAAAAAATTTTTAACAGTTTTATTACACACATTTAGAATGAACATTTCACTACCAAAAATTTTTACAATAATTGTTCAAAATGACTGTCCTTCACTTCCATACAATAGTACAAACAATTTTGAAATTCTTCTCCGAAATTGTTTAATACTCCTGCACTTAATTGTCGACATTCTTCCTCTATTCTTTGTCGTAAATCATCTAGAGATTCTGGTTGAGTAGCATAAATTTTGTTTTTAAATACCCCCATAAAAAGAAGTCTAGGGGTGTTCAATCCGGTGACCTAGCTGGCCAATCCATTATCTGTCGTCTTTTACCTATCCAAGGACCGGGAAACGTTTCGTTTAAAAATTATCGCACAGATAAAGCACAGGCTGAAGAACCTCTATCATGTTGAAATACAACCAAATCTTCAAGAAGAAGAACTCAAGATACGATGCACCGTTTAAGTTTCCAGTGATAAAAAAGGGTCCCATAATGACTGTAATCACGTAGGATACCACACCATACGTTTAAACTTTGAGGATGCTATGTGTAAAATTCGCGTACAATATGTGGATCACTCTCAGCCCAGTATCGGCAATTATATCTGTTCAACAAACCGTTAAATGAGAATGAGCATTCATCTGAGAAGCAAATATTGTTTAACAATTGTGGATTATTAATGATGCATTGTATTATTAATTCGCAAAAGTCGGGACGACGATCAAAATCTTCTTCATTTCACTCTTGTACTAATTTAATTTTATATGGATGAAGCTTAAATTTATGGAGGACTCGGAGGGCTGTAGAAGATCAAACACCGATTGCTCTGCTTATTGTTGACAGTGACTGTGATTGTTAAGCCTCTAAGTTAACTTGCCCTAAAACAGCTACTTGGATTGCTTCGTTATTTACAAGTCCCTGTCGGTTATGTTGTTTATTGCAAACTGACCCTCTTGCTCTAAATTTCTGTATCAGTTCAATCACATAGTTATGAATTGCATGCCTATTGTGACGTGTTTCATTAAAAATTCTAGCAGCAGCTCTTGGACAATTATTATTTTTGTAGTATAAACCTACAATTTTGATTCTTTCTTGCAAAGTGTACACCATTTCAGCGATCAAATTG